ATCGCGGATCGCATGCGCAACAGGTCGACACCTCAATCTGTCGCTTCCGCTAGCAGAATACCAGACACCCACGATAGAATACAAACTCTAGAACACAAAGTCGACAAAACGTCAAACGAACGCATAGAAGCCTTAGAACGTAAAATCGACGTGCTCACCGAGCAATTAATGACAATGAGGGTTAATAGACAATCTACCACAACGTACAGAAGACAGCGTAGCCACTCACGCAATATGCGTAAATATAGCTTACAACAGACTATATGCTGGTATCATCGGAAATTTGGTGTACACGCAAAACGGTGCACACAACCGTGTGCTTTCCAACACATACACATTGACATCGTTGGACCGTTACCACCATCTAATGGTTTTACGTACATTTTAACGTGTGTTGACAGATTTACGAGATGGCCAGTAGCTTGTCCCTTACCTGATATTTCTGCTGAAACTGTTGCAAAGAGCATCATACAAAATTGGATTTCCAACTTCGGAGTGCCCAGCATTATTACTACAGTCAGAGGTGCCCAATTCGAAAGCCATTTATTCCAACAACTCACAGAACTACTGGGAATCAAACGTATACGTACTACTGCATATCATCCCAGTTCAAACGGCTTAGTGGAGAGATTTCATCGTCAACTGAAAGCATCATTAATGGCAGTGAAGGACGATGATAAGTGGAGCGATAAATTACCACTTGTACTTCTTGGAATACGTTCGACAATAAAACAAGATATCAAATGTTGTCCAGCAGAATTAGTTTATGGAACTACTTTACGACTACCTGGAGAATATTTCAACCCAGCCACTGAAGTTCCAGCTGACGAAACTACTTTTGTGCAACAACTGAGACAACATATGAGCCTTTTAAGATATCATCCGCCACGACATCAGCTCAACCAAGCATACATGCCTGAAAAACTAGAAAATTGCACGTATGTTTTCATACGACACGATGGTGTAAGGAAACCACTTCAACCACCTTATGACGGACCATTCAAAGTTATAAGCAGAACAAGCAAAATCATCAAAGTCGAACGCGGAGGAAAACACGAGAATGTAAGCATCGATCGCGTAAAACCAGCTTTCATGGAAATAGGGGTGACTGAATGTTTACCCAAATCAACATCATCTCAAGATTCAAAATCTGATGATATTCCGGCTAACAAAACAGAAAGAATCACAAGATCAGGCAGACGAGTACATTGGCCACAAAGATTTGTACAGACAATTTATTTCTAATTCATTCCATACTACCTTATTACTGTACTATTAACTGCATGTAAGATATAAATCTATTCTGTAACTCCTTACAATAACAACCTCATCGTTATTCTAATAATTTTTCTGGATTTATTGTTACATCTTGCACAACTTTCGAAACATTTCGGTTCGTTTCAAAATTGTTAACATTTCCTAATATATACAGTTATAATCGAACCTCAGAAAACTTAAAAGCCTCAATTCGGTTTTCATACATTTTTTTTCCTTGTAATTTACAATATCATTCCGAATACAGGTAAACTTCATTTACCTGCATTCTACGGAGGGGCTATTGTAGTGACCCACTTTATTACTCATCATCGTACTATACTTTCATTGTGTAATTGTACTTTGATTTGTTTATTACTATAAATCTTGCATGTTAACAATTGATACTTTTGTGCTCGCTCGATTTTTGAATTTTGATTGCTGCAATAATACACTATCGTATTCCTTCGCAAGTGCCTTTTGAATTACGTTGTGGACGTCGAGTAATCACAACGTCAGCACACAATTATAAACGCGAAGAAGTACTAAGATATACGTGTACGCTAGTTTGGTCAAAATATAGCAGCACAACAGAGGAAGGAAAATCAGCAACTATAAATTATAGCCATAAGAATGGCCATAATCATAAAAACAGTTTATAAAAGACATAAATGTTACTTTTCCTAATTATTGTATATACGTCACACATTGTGAATAGCATTGTTTTAATAATAATTACCAACCACTTTATTTGGGTTATTATCACTTTCAAAGTAACTGATAATAACTATAATTAATACCTAGACAGGTTCTAGTCCAGGTTCTACATCTAGAAACATGAATTTTCAAATGATAATTCAGGAAAACAGTTTGTATGTTGAGAGTGTAACATTATAATACGAAAACCATTGCTAAGTAAGGAGTGCACCGAGTGGTGATGAAAAACAACAGATGAATAGAAGACAAAGAAATTTAATTGCCTGTAGAACTCCATCATTCCTTTGGGCCAAGTTATAGAATAGGGATCCAGAAGTGAGAATGCACCAATGACTTTGAATGCGCATACTGTGTGTTGGGTCGCGTGACCTACGATTTTTTGCACCACTATGAATGCTGTACCCCATTTGAGAAGTAAATTTCATCCCGACTCCATCTTCCAGTATTACTTGGAAAATGGATTGATTGGACGTTGTTAACTCCTTTTTCACCTATTTTCTGTTACTATTTCCTTCGTGTTCGACTTCATGCTACTTGTCACTAGTAAGTAGTGTGATTTTATATATTTTTAATACATTGCTACTCGGTAACAATAACTGCTGTTTGTCACCGAAATTTACTTCACCCAATATTGTATTCGATCTACAGTGGATATCTTCTTATAGTTAAACGGTATCTGTTGTACCTGCTCTGTTTATCTTCCACTTTTTGTCGAACTTTGTTTATTCTAATTTCTTTATTCTTAATCTGGATATTTGCGTTCTGTTTAATCTGAGGGTGGGTCAGCCTTCATACAGCTTCGCTGCTCTTTCTTATTGACACAGTAACAGAGCATTTGACGGCATTCAGCCATAGACACCTCATAATTTGAGGTTTGTATATTATATTCATTATTTTATACATAATATAGTGCCGTACTTTAGATAAATTCTGTATATTGCATTGTACGCATAACTTGTTGTGCTGCTATATTTTGACCAAACTAGCGTACACGTATATCTTAGTACTTCTTCGCGTTTATAATTGTGTGCTGACGTTGTGATTACTCGACGTCCACAACGTAATTCAAAAGGCACTTGCGAAGGAATACGATAGTGTATTATTGCAGCAATCAAAATTCAAAAATCGAGCGAGCACAAAAGTATCAATTGTTAACATGCAAGATTTATAGTAATAAACAAATCAAAGTACAATTACACAATGAAAGTATAGTACGATGATGAGTAATAAAACGGGTCACTACACCTCTAGATTCATATTATTCATCTCACTTTCAAAATTTATATAACTTTGTTAAAGTAAATTTGACTACTGTCGTAGAATATATTCCTTATCAGATATGTTTGTTTCAAATGACTGACAGTGAGACAGTAATATCAGTTGTAAATACAACTGTATCACCAGGTATTTTATCAAATCAACTTACCAGTACAATATTTATACATCTGTTCAGATTTCACATTTTCATTTATTTCTTCAAATCTTATTATATGTTTGTCTATAGGATGACGGCGAGTCCGTGGCACAGTGGTTAGGACGCTTGCCGACCATGCGCATGGTCCTGGGTTCGATTCTTGGCCGGCGCACTCCTTTACTTCGCTAAGCCATTAGTGGTACTGGTAAAGTGGAAAGGTTGGGCATGAGGCTAGCAATCCCATCCTGTAAAAATTAACTCTGCTACAGAAACTTCAAGCCTCTAGCTTGGAGCCCTATGTTCCACTGGGAAAGTAAAGGAAAAGAAAAATAGGAAGAGGGCGCGGTTCAATATCCAGGAATGCTCAGTTCAGTAATGCTGCTTATTAGTGACATTGTATGTCATATCGAGAAAGATAGCTAAATAACATTTGTGACTAACCCCCTAATAACTAACCTTCAAACGGAAGTAGAAGAATTCTGGTGTTTCTCTACAGGATATAAGAAGTAAATGCAATTAATTTTGAATATTTATAGTATCACCCTAATTTTCTGCATAAGTATTCTGACCAAATGGATTGCTTTTTGCTATTGACAATACAGTTACACAAAAGTTACCACTGATCATATTTCCAAGACCATATTACTTAAGAAACTGAAATCGTTCAGAGTTTACGAACGATGAACTAATTTTAACTCTTGAGCAGTTTTTTCTTCAGGTTTGTTTATTATGTGGCATGGCTGAAAAGATTTCAGTAAATAGAAGTAACTTAGATGAGAAACAGTTTAATACAACGATATAATAGTTTTATAGAGCAAAAATATAAGGGTGACATGGTTATCATGTAAGTTTCAAACAAATTTTATAAAGTCTGTCCACAGGTATTAATCTATGAACAGAGAACAGTAAATCAGATTCTCAGTTTACGAATTAACTTTCAATTTGCACAGTTTGAGGTGGTCTGTTACCACAGTTTCTCTTGGAAACTAGTTCTTTCAAGTAACTAGTCATAAATAGGGTGACTTGAGCTGATTAGGCCGTCTGAATTAAGTCACAAAAAGAGTACACCAAAAGCTTCGATCTAACTTGCAAGCACTACTAGTGTCAGACTACTCACCTCAACTACTCAGTAGTATATAGTTTTATTCTTAGAAAGTAGCTATTGCTTATGTGCATATGCTTGTATATGTATACCTACAAACTTTAGAAACTTATGAGTATTTCTTAAAGGCTATTTCTTACTTCCAGTAGGATTTACTGATAAGATAAAAACGATAATAGTAGTAAGAAAAATACTAAAAATAGAGACAATATCAAATTAAGAAATTGTGTGAATAGTTCACAAAGTTATCACAATTGTTATCGATTCACCTTCAAACATATATAACGCATATATTGGAGAGTAAAAATAAATTGGCGATAAAGTTGATATGCATAATAAATAACCGTTGCTTAGTGCAAGTCAGAAAAACAATTTATCTGACCAATGAAACGTTTCACTCAATTTTAAAATGCAGATTTATGTTATGTGCTAGAATATATTTTATGTTTGGTTAGTTTATTACTCAAAGGCAAATATACACTTTCATAATTTTATGAGGAATAATAGTTAACAGACACCTTTAATTCTTATTAGGATACGTAAGTTTAAGCCTTTCTACTGTATTCACATATGTGATTTTGTAATTAAATTGTTAAAACTACGGTTTAACACAAGTCCTTTGTTTATCAGCGCTGTTAGATACCTAGAAAGCTTTAGTTTTATGAGTGTAGACGACATATAATCTGTTAAACGGAAGAGGTAGGGAAACCAATAGCAATTTAAACAGTTTACCGTCATTTCTTTATGAAGCATAAACAGAGTTTAATCAATAACAGTATTGTTCTAGAACTTCTCTGTTTAATATTAGAGATTATTAATCAGTTGTATTACTTCTAGTCGGCTTTGTTAAGATTCCTTTCTCTACAGTACATTTACATTGTTTATGTTCAGAAATTCATAAGAATTTTGTATGGCTTATTCGCCGAAATGTTAGACACAAAACTAAGAGCTCTATTTCTGAAGTCAATCACTTAAAGTGTTGTTAAGGTTTTGTCTCACTCAAATCTTGGTATAACCTACCACAGGTTTTACAAGGGAGATTAAAGTTTTTAAATGTGGATTGACTACAACTTAAGTTTTATTTAAAATTAGTTTTATAATAAGTATTGATGAACACAAATGAAGTTCAAAGGTATAACTAACACCTGCAAACATTTTCTGCAGAGTAGGATTATTTAATGTATTGTGAAACATGCTTTATAATCTGTTTAAAACACAGTCTTAAATTCAAACGAGAGAATTCAAGTATCAAAAGGAAGAACAACTGGTCAGAAGTCATTTTGTCTAGATTTTCACCAGAAATTTATTGTTTCGTGAAAGAACTCAACTTGTACTGAAGTGATTGGAGTATCATTTGCATCTGTGCTCCAAAGAAATTCAGTTTAAGGAACACTTCTAACACTGTATCGACATTTTGATTGGACACTGGTCAGACTGAATTCTATCAGTCAAGTTTTCAATGTGGCCAGCATGCTACATGGCTCGCTATCACTGTGCACTGTGAGTTGTTGATATTAGAAGGGACATGAGTTCCTTCAACGTGGCAGTTACTATTTGCTGACGAGTGACAAATAAGACGAAAACTAGGTCCAAGGCTTCCTGCAGATCGCCTCCAACCTTCTAATATAAACAGTATCGACATCTTAAGCTACACATATTCTCTGTTATTTCTGACTAACTGTTAGCGTTAATTAAGGGATTCTAAGGAATTACGACGTCTCATCCATGGATGTGACTTAAAATTATAAACTCTTGGAATTGATATGCATAGAAACCACGTGTACACCAATCTCAAAGATAATATAACTGGCTTTTGGTGGCGAAAGGTTCAGATATCGGTAATAGATTGCATTTATGATGATATAAATGATCTGTTTTGCTAAAAGATATACTTAAGTGATTCTACTGATGTGTATATTTTAAAGACTTGTGAAGTGCATCTTGTGCCTTTAGTCAGCATACCGAGGCAATGTGTCTTTTAAGCAATTTGGTAGATGATGACTAGCAGTGGAATCCAGGACGCGGGTTCCATCCTATTTTGGACTCGTCAACTGAGTAGACTCGAAATCCCCAATGAGTGATGGTGTTCCCACTGAGACTGAAAACCAGTATCCTTCATTTCAAAAGCCAAAGAGTTTTCCACCAGACCCCTTTAAGCCACGAGAACCGCCTACTGTGAACCAGGTATCCGTTACTATTTGTTTTACGTCGATTTTGACCTTCTCGTTGGTTGACTGACCTAAAAGAAATAACGTGTCTTTTACAATTAATAGTGTTCTCTGAGCTGATTGGTTTAGTTGCGAAGCTTTCGTCGTCCTTCTGCACAACATCTTCAGCGCCATATTTAGCACAAAGTGAAGTGATTTAAATTGCTTCATGAGTGATGTAATTGCGTCTCCTGGTAACTATCTTTACGTATGTACTGACCATTTTCTATTGACGTGGATTTTAAACCTTCTGGTCACCTGATTTACTTTTTATTAATTGGTATATTTCGTCTATATTAACGTGTTTGCTAATTGCATTTTCTCTTGAGTACCAGGCTTCTAGGAATTCCCTGGCACTTTTAGTGTTTCCTCTGTCTAAGATTTTGACATTATCCCAATCAAACTGATCACCATAACTGTCTATATGCATTGATACTAAAGAATATATATCGTGTCTTTTCACGGCTGATTTGTGTTCTTGGATTCTGATTCGAAGGGGACGCCCACTTTGGCCGATGTAATGCTTGTTGCAGTTCATACAATTTATTTTGTAAATAGTAATTATTTTATCCCCTTTTTCTGTTGGATCTTTTGGTTTGCATAATATCGAATTAAGCGATTTTACTGGCTTGATCCACCTGAGCTACAAATCTTCTCTATTATTTCATCGTGTCATTTAGTTAAATATAATCAGTTATGAGGAATCACCCTAAGGTTCAATGCATCAAGCATTTTTCCAAGTAATAAGCAGACATTTGCGTTGCTTATTCATATTTTTCGCTTTTCCTGTTAAGGGTCTATATGTTTCGAGTTAATTAGTATATAGCAGTTGAAATAATTACCGCTAATAATAGCTGTGAAGTTTATCAATAGAAATATTGGTTTCTTTTTTAACAAAAACAGAAACTATTGAGTTTATAAAATAAAACATTTGATATCACTTTAATGATAGTTAGTTAGGCTGCGAATACATTTTTACATAGAATAACAGATTAATTATAGGGTGACGCAATGAGAAGTATTTACTTCACAGACGTCACAGCAGATATTTTAGATGCGCAAAAGTGTTGATAAAACACCTTTAAAACAGCCAAACACATATCATTTGATATAATTAAAACATTCCTCTAGACCAGTAATACAAAATCAACAACTTTAGGAAATTCACGCCTTAGTTGACCGCCTCCATTCAATATTTACAAGTATGTTGAAGCAAAAGCTCAAAGGGTTAGATTTGCAGTATGTTATATCTCCACCCACAAAGAAAGTATGCATTAAACAAGAGGTAATAAGAATACGGTGAATATTTCATAGGTTTTCAGTGGTTCTCTGACTGATATCAATCCGTGGTCAAACTCGGAAAACAAATCTAATCCTTACAACACAACTCTTGAAAATTAATCTGATGCTCGCTAGTGACTTGATACAGGAAGGAGTTTCCTGGAGTCCTAGTGAGAAGTTGTGACCAGTGAGGTCTATCCAAATGGGAGTGAGGACGGATTTCTCGATGACGACATTGGTTGGTACTCGCGCTAAAATCACAAATTGGCAGAAGTTAGAATTTAATGGGCCATTGAATCGGGTCCCATTAGCTGATTGGTATACGAGCTCGCTTTTTAACAAGAAGGTCCTAAGTTCGGACCCTGACGAGTGGTGTGTACTGGCAATGAATATTTCATAATGATATAATCGATATGTAAAATAAATGAGCTGAAATCATATAGTGAATAAAGAGGTTATATTACTAGTTAAAAGTCAGGAAAGTTTCTTAGTGTCTGTATACACGTAAAACTTGTTATTTTTCAAAGACTTCTAGAATGAAGGGTATAAATTATGAACACGTCTGAGCAAAGACAAAAGACTAAGAAGTAAAAAGGAAGAGGAAGAGAAACCACTTGAGGTGAGGAGAACTTTCAGTCCTTGTTTGGCCACGGTAGGAACAGTGTTTGAAAGTGTTCTTTATTGATGTAGATTCCTGACTTATTCGATTTTATTACACCATCATCATCGTCTGTTTTGCACTATTTTGTATCTACACTCAACCCACCAATTCTATCACACAAACTTTGTTTATTCTGTCACCCCATAACTAATCTGTTATTCAACGTAAAAATATATCATCCGCATAACTGGCTATTAATACGGTTACGTTCACATTAGGTTAATCTCAGTTATAGAGGTTGTTTAATGAGATATACAACTGATCTTATATTTACTCTTTATGATTGATTACTGGTTGCTGTATTTAGTTAGATATACTAAATAGTTAAAAACGTGGGATTTACTATATGACACCTCATGGATAATTTATTCTCCAAAGACATCTTAAAGTTATCTTGATGTCAGGGTTGGATATTAATCCTTCCAGCTATTTTATAGTAGTGATTAATTGTTTTTGTCAACTGCATTTTTACTTATAGACCATACAATCTTTTGATGGTCTTTTAATCCCCTGAAAGATATGCCTGAAGATTTCTCAAAGTTCTTAGGCATAAGTGAAACTTGTATGGAGGATTTCATCATGAGCTGACATCAGTTAGAGAACCATTGGAAAACCTGGGAGCCACTGGGACCCGATCCAATGGTCCTTGAATTCTAACTTCTGCCAATTCACGACATAGCGCGACCATTTCGCAATGTCTTCTTAGATGAGTTACTGTCACATCTTCAACCTGCTGTCTACGAGCTCGCCTTGTAACCAGAAGGTCCTGGGCTCGAATCCCGGTGGGCGCGTACTGCTGAAGAGTCTCAAACTAGGACGAAACAGCTGTCCAGTACTCCCAGGTTTTCCAATGGTTCTCTAACTGATGTCAGCTCATGATGAAATCCTCCATACAATTAAACAAAATCCCTACCAAACCAATACTTGAAAATAAGTGAAACTTATTGAAATTAGTACCACTTCTATTAAATGTTTCAGATTTTCACGTGAAAACTTTACCGTTCACCTAAAAGTTAATCTTTCTATTGTATTCTGCTAACTGACTTCTTTGATAAAAGTCCACTCATCTTCGTGTGTCGTTAGCAGAACTGTTCAAAAATATTTTAGCATGGAAGCAGTCAGTATATATTGGCTTTGGTAAGATCTTATTCAGATTTTTGACAGTGAGCTTTGCAACCATACATCAAATACAGTCATCAATGAATGGTGATATCAGGAGGAATGTAATTAATCAAAAATATATAGGCATAAGATATAGACAATAATCTTATTATCTTTTAAGTACACAGACACATATATTTGGAGTAAGAAATATTATTCTTTACACTTTTTTTTATTCCTTTACGTTCCTAGTGGAACATAGGGCTTCAAGCTCGAGGTCTGAAGTTTC